AGAGGGGGGGGCCGGGGGGTGGGTGGCTGAGGGGGGGGGGCTGGCTGGCTCCCACGTAAGCCAGAGCGGTGGCTCGCTCCTCTCGGCCCCGTCACCGCTGGCGCGGGAAGGGGAATATTTGCTTCATGAGATCATGGTTTGCCGAAACGTAGCCAGTAGCCAGCAACACTCGGCAGCGTGCGGGGAGGTGACGCGTCCTGGGGTCACCACAGAGAGGCGGCTGGCGGGACGATGGTCCCGGTCCCCCCACCCTGGGCTCCCCGTGGCCCCCACCCGTGCTGGGGGGCTGCCTGCGCTCCCTGGGGGAGGGAGGCAGCTGGGGACCCTGCTGTGGGGCCGAGGACCGGCTTTAGCCCTGACGAGTGCTGCTGGGACGTGCCCCAGGCTGCCGGGTGCATTCCTGGGTGCCTCCTCTCCCACCACCCCTGCACCCTCTGAGAGTTCCCCGCCGTCCATGGGGTGCTGGGCTGCTCACGGGGGGCTGCACCGGCTCCCCCCCGGCCACGCTGTCCCTAAATCCAGGATGCGCCATCCCATTGAAACCTTGTAAACACAGGAAGGGCCGTGCCCGGCTGGCGGTGCTGAGCACGTCCCCTGGGGCCCAGCCTGCCCCCACCTCGCCCCCTCAGCCCCACAGGGCTGCACACTCCCTGCCCTGGCCACGCAGAGCCGGGGTCCCCTCCCCGGGCTGCCCCAGAGGGATCCCCCCTACCCAGAGCGGGGTCCCCCCAGCCTGCTGGGGGGAGCGCAGGGACGTGTCCCTCGGGTTTGCAGGGGAGGGGACGGAGCAGGGGCACAGTTAAAAAGCGAAGCCGCCGTGCTGCGCAGCCCCCCCCCGTGACTCCCTTCGTCTCCGGCCAGGCACTGATTTGGTGGGTGTCTTGCAGCGGCCATGCCTACCACCGTGTCCTCACGGCTGGGCAGCCGCAGGGCTGCACCGTGGCTGGTCCCAGCTCGCGCCGGTGCATGTGCCGGTGTCTGTCACTGCTCGCCTGGCGTGTGCATGCAGCCGTCGGGAACGCTGTGTCCCCAGCCACGGTGGCAGCTGCCCTGGGATGTCCCCGTCCCCACCTGCGGCAGCTCCGCGGGGTGCTGGCTCAGCCCTGCTCCCTGCCCAGCTCCTCCGACGGTTTCACGCCTGCAAACAAGCTGTAATTTAGGTCTAAAAATAAGCAAGGGGGAAGGTGGTGAGCTGGTGGCGCGCCCGGAGCAGGGCTGGGCGCAGGTGAGAGGCTGTGCCAGCCCCGGGACGGCAGCGGGTGGGTGTCCCAGCCTGGTTGTAGGGGTCCCAGCCCGGCCTCGGGGTCCCTGCAAACCTCGGCACGGTCTTGCAGGAACGATGTGGAAACACGGCAGATTTTGCTCATTGCTCTCGTCCCCCTGCCACCCCACACGTCTGGGACCTCCGGTGTGTCCCCCTTGCCGTGCCACCCACGCGGGTCACTGGGACTGACCCAGCCCAGTCTCCTGCCTGCATCCCTCTCTTCCCACCGGCATCTCTGGGGGGCTTGAGCCCCTGTCTGGGACTGCCCCTCATTTTGGGGTGCCTGTCATTTTGGGGTGTCCCTTGCCTCCTGCTCGGGCGTCCCTCACCGTGCAGGTCGGGGTGCCATCCTTGTGGATCCCGGGGCGGGGGGACTCAGCCGGGAGCCTGGTGGGGGTGCGGCCGCCCTCCCCGTGCCGCATCCCTGATGCTAACCCTGCCTGTACCTCTGCCCCCAGCCTGCCTCTTCCGCTTCAACGTCCTCTCCCTGGTGTACCTGCTCTTCCTGCTGCTCCTGCCCTGGTTCCCGGGGCCCACCCAGCGCTCCGCCGGAGGTAAGGGGCTCAGCCTGGGGCGCGGGGGACCGGGCAAGGCATGGCAGGCAGCAGGGTGGGCAGCGCGCAGGCAGCTCTGGCCGGGGAGAGCTGGGCAGCGCGGGGGCTGCCAGCCGCTCTCCGGCAGGTACCTGCCCTCCTTCCCCTGCGGTTTCCCCCCGGCCGGGAAGCGTGGCTCCGCGTGGCAGCCTCACTCCTGTTAATTATAGCCCGGCGCGGCTATTAATATGCCTCCAGCTACAAAACGGCCAGTTTTGAGCCCCAGCCTTATTAACCAGAAACATAAGGTCTGGGCTGTGCCCGCCGGGTGGGCAGGGATGTACCACGAGCAGCCCCTCCGCCCTGCCCGGGCACGTGGGGCACGTTCCCCACGGTGGGCATGCACGGGGGGTGCAGGGGATGCATCACCCATGGTGGGTGCATGGGTGCATACCCCCCCCCCCCCCGGGG